CTATTCCATTTTATAGTTGCAATCTACTCCTCAACATAATAAAGGAAAGAGGATTCTTCATTTATGAAAAAGGCAAGTAGTGACACCGTGACTGGCTGAGCAGATACATAACTTTGTAGTTATGTGATCTTGTGGGAATGGGCAAAAAGCATGTGTGATCTTTTAATAGAAATTGAGGAATAGATTTCCAAAGAAGTAGCATCAATTAAATTCCCAGGTAGCTATTTGTGTATATTTATGTTTGGCTATTTAAAATTTATTTATCTGATAACTAAAGGTGTCAGCCAATTTTTATGCTTGTTAGCCATTTGGGTAGGCACTTCCCAGAAAACACTTGCTCATATTATACTTCTGAGATATTTGACTTTTCATATTGTCTATACAAATCATTTATTAGGCCACATATAAATATAATATAGGTAATAGCATATGGCATATAATAATATGTAAATAATAGAACATAGATAAAGATACCCACTCTTGTATGTATAAGTCTTTTCACTCTTAGATATTTTTGAAGAAAAGTTTAATTAGGTCTTCTCCAAAGAAATGTTGTATTCCCTTTGAATTAACATTTTGTTTATAGCTTAAGACATTTTTACTTATATTACATAGTATAAAGATATTTTCTTATGTGTCTTTTGGGAATTTTTATTTTGCCTTCTGCCTTCATATATGATAAATTGATATTTCTCTGTGAGACAAGGAAATGGGTCAATATTTTATCCATATTAATACTAAGATAACCCAGTACCATTTTACACAAAGATTTTTTTCTATGCACTGAAAAGATATAGCCTAAGACAAAGTGTTTACCATCTATGTGGGTATCAACTGCATCCAGGTTTTGACTTTTCTATTTTTCAATTCTTGTGACCATGACATGTTATCTTAGTAACAGTGGACTTATCGTTAGCATTCACTTTTATAATATCGGCTTATCTATTCTTGAAATCCTGCATTTCCATATAGTCTTAGAATCAGCTAATCAATTTCTGTATTTTTTATTAGAAGTACATTCCATCTTTTGACACTTACATATACTCAATCATCTGATGCCCTCACTAGGTTATGCTGCAGTAGGAAGTGGATATTCATATAGCACCAAGACAAAGATAACATCATCAGAACAGGAGAACTGCTTAGAAAATTTAAGGGAAGGTATCACAAGTGAAAAAGGCATAATATGAATGAAGCCAGACAGGATCAGTGTGATTGACAGCATTGCCACCATTTCTATGATATGTGGATACTGTGAACTGTTGACTTCCAGGCTGGCCTTGGCTATCAGGATGGAACAATACCACATCGACCTTCGACTGACTAGATTTTATGGGTTTGGATATGAGACAGAAGCACAAAGAATAAAAACAAATATATCTGAGAGGACCCTTGGCCCCAATCCAGGAGACAAGCCTTTAAGATATTTTGGCAGTGCTATAAATGTCAGTATGGGGTTAAGACGTGAACCATGTATACTTCACACAACTTTAACATTCTCACTTAATTATCTTTAAGTCCAAGAGTATGACTATGTAACCTCCAAATTTCTACAAAATCATTAACTGAATTTCACACATTCTGACTAATGTGGCTGTATCTTGCACTGTATATTCCATCTTTCCCTGGATGTGGTTTTACCTTCGTTCAGAGTATCCACACTGAGTATGCTACCTATCTGTTACTCACATAGTAGTTACCATGCAAACCAACATAGGAAAGACAGTAATGTACTAATAAAATAATTTACCAAGACACAAATATATAATTTATTGAAATAAGCTCCAATAAAGCAGTGAGTGAGTTTCTAGAGAGAGACACAATGATGCCACTCAGAGAAGCAGATGGAAGTTATGTTATTTCAAGTAAAAGAAAAGTTACTTAGTCTTTCCATCATTGGTCTCTTGTGTTGGTTCATACCTGAGGGGATAGGTGAAGCTCTTGGTACCACCTGTAAGTAAGTTTTATAACAATACTCATGTTCTAAAGACTGGCTGGTAAGGAAACCAGTCTTTCTCTGTCCCACCAGCCAGCTCTCAAATAATGTCCTGGTGACTCCTTATTAATTACGATCGCTTGGCCTATAGCTTAGGCTTGTTCCTAACTAGCTCTTACAACTTAAATTAGCTCATATTTTTAAATCTATGTTCTGTCACATAGCATTACCTTTCTTGCGTCTTGTGCCTTTCATTTCCTCTCCTTGTCTGGCCTTTTTCTTCCCAGAGTCCTCTCTGTCCCCAGAGATCCCACCTATAACTCCTGCTTAGCTATTTCAGTTTTTATCGCACCAATCATAGCAATACATTTTTCACATAGTGTATAAATAATCCCACAACGTGGACCTTTTGTGTAAAACACTGAGTGTTTAGGGGTTAGGCTCCAGATGTCTGTGTAAGGCATTTGAGGTCACTAGAGAGATAGGTTTGGACTGTTGAGGTGTAGGAATTTGGCTTTCATTTGGCTTTTCTGTCTTTAGAGTAGTGATCAGCTATCAAATTTACTGCTATGGTACTGCATTGATTCCATTTTAGCAACATGCATTTTATTCAATACTGGTCTCAAAGCATACAAATTGTCATGCTTGAAAATCTGGACATGCTAAAGGACTGCTTTCTAGAAGTGTAAATTGTAAAAATGCTCTGGAAGAAGAAGAAAAAATCTTGAAGAAGTTGCTAAGATCTCGGATTAGAACAAATCTTTCTTTTGTATATTAAATAGTGGAAGAAGGAAAAGGAAATTCATGCTAGTTTTGGTGTCACACATCCAAAGACAATAGTCCTCCCACAGTATGTGACAAGTGCTTCTTCAAGATAGAATAAAGTATTAAATTATAGTGTTTGTCTTTCTCTGAGATCCTGGACTAAGACAGAGTCTGTAAAGATTAGACCTGTACAACTATAATAATTATATAAATCTTAACATTTCACTTCCAACAAACATTCATTTCCTCACATGCATTGTCAATTTAATCAACAGCAATTGTCTTCAATAGAGAGTGTAGGAAAAGTTGGCCCTGTCCTGCTCTCAAATACCAGCTGGCATTTGTGTCCTGAATGTAATGCTGTGAGTTCTATTTGGGCTACAGAGGGAAGAAGTTTCCCTAATGATACCTTCTTGTCAGGAGAATTATTTCATTTAGAAATTCTAAAGCAAAAGAACAGCCATGAAGGATGCAATCCACATTTAAATAAATAAGGGGTTATTTTGCTCCCAAAAGTTTTCATTCCAATCACTGATCAGATCTCACACATCGGCTTAAAGATGTCTGCCTTGGGTCATTACTAAATGACAGACTGTGATAAACTGGATGACAAGAACAAGACAATACAGTATTGTTTACACAGAAGATTGAGTAACTGGTTAGACAAAGAAGTTTTTGGGTATCTATTGTATGTACAACTAACAGATTTACTGGGGCTTTTAGAATCTCTTCAAGGCTCTTTCCCAGCCAGCTTCATTAACTTGGAGTAAATCAAATCATGCAGAAATCGGGCTCTGCCACAAAGAAACCAGGAAGAAGAATATGAAGAAACACAGACATGAGATGATAAGATTTAGAATCTTTGGCATTTTTCATAAAACATTTTGTTAGAAGATTATTAAATGACAATGCAGAAACAAACAAAGAAAGAAGTAAACACAAGTAAATTCTGGCTTTTTACCTCAGCTTTTCTTTACAATATACATACAAACCTGCACATTGCAGGCATATATGGATGAAATATAGATTTTAAAGCTTAAATATAATTTTAACACAAAGATATCTGTACACACTTTCTACATGCACAAAATTAACTGTTTTGAAATTGGCAGGGTGTTCTGTGGAGCCTTTGGGAGCTCAAGACTCAGACCCTATGTGCGGAGGACTTTTTGGTGGTTGTTTTGTATGAACAGGGTTTCAAAATAAGCTTTTATTATTTATATCTTATTTTGATTCTCAGAAAAACAAAAGACAAATTTAGACAGCCAAAGCCATTTTAAAACTGTCTACTCACAACATCAAGTAACTGGAACAATTATATTTCACCAAGAATCTCAAAGTAAAGCCCTTCAGACTTACTTCTGAATTTACTAACTTGTCTCCTCCCACATCCCAACATTTCTCTGAGGATGTATATTGACATCTCCTTTTGGTGATCAACAAAAAGTGAAGTTGGAAGAAATGATATTTTACAGCAATGAAATACTATCATGAAATCTCTACTCTTCAAATGATGACTCCTTGGAACCTTCAGGGAGACCCCTTGCCAACAACAGCTGAGATGCAATACAGGCTGGCATCCAATACTAAGGTCACCAAAAACAAACATGTCTTGAGTAATCACAGCTGATTCCAAACTATTTATGTTAATTCTGGAAGTCACTAAATATTCATTTTTCTAATGTACATTATCTGAAAGGATAGATGGTGGCAAAATACTCTGCAGCGAGCAGCGGGATTGAGCCTGGAAATAACTGCACCTCTGTTGACGGCTGCATTTTATGACAGAGCTATGTAATGGAACAGAGGCTGGCATGACACAGCTCCTGGGATGGCATTGAGCTGGAAACTGTCCTGCCTTGGCCTCTTCCTTGCTGGGATTACAAATGTGGGCCACCCGCTCCAGATGGAAATTACTGGATCTTAGTGAAAATCTGCTGATGGATACAAAATAAATTTAGCATGATCCTGGAATCAAGTGGTTTCCTGGCTGTTCTCAAGGACAGTGTTCAGATATGTGGACACTTGGTTTTATTGTCCTACTGACAAATGGATAAGAGACCGTCACAGTCTCAGACTTGATGCCTTTGATTGGGTTGACTGTCTAGGCATCTGGGATACCCATGCATGGGAACATGTGTGCAGGTGTGTGTGCATCTGTATGTGTGAAGAGAGTGGAGAATGATGAGAGAACTGCACAGAAAGCCCCTTTCAGGACACCTCAGTACCACTGGAGCAGCCAGGACAGAGGTCTGATCGGCTACACATAGGATGCTGCAGTCCTCAGTGAGCGTGAGCCCTAGACAGTATAACGCTTCTTCCGAAGTGGGCTGTGGCTGCCGCAGAGCTTCAGCTCTGCATACTGCACCTGTGAAAACAAACAGATACGATGCTGGCAGTTAGGTAACCCTAGCTCACCACAGAGTGTGTTAATGGCTCCCCAAGGACCATGAGGCAAAGGAAGGAAGGTTCAAAGGTAATGAATCATTTTCTAAACACAGGAAGATTTTTCTAACAAGATGCATGGGCTTCTATGGGCTTCTAGTTAACTCACCACTGTTGCCCGATTTTGATCTTGCTTATACCAGCTTTCAACCGTAAATAAACTAAATAACTGCCTCTTGGGATTGCTGATCTTATGTTATGACACAACAGCTTACTGAGTATTATTCATTTCAAAGTACCTACAATGATGGGGGGAAATTTGGGCTTTTGCAGTCATTAATTTTACCTAAGAGGGGGCAAAACATTGAAATTGATACTAAGCCCCAAACTTTTGTAGAAGTCATCTGAAATTAATTCCACTTATAGGGTAATGGCTAGAACATTTGTGATAAACATGAGCACTAGGGGAGTCCCCAGAGGCAACCTGTCATTATCATTAAAAAGCACCCCAAGTGGGACGGGGCGACTCAAGCTAATGCATGGAGCATCCTCTTTCAAATGTTTTGTCATATGTACCTCTCTGTGAATACACCAAGTATACCTGGGTGAACACTCCAAGGGCTGTTGCCAGGACCTAGGAGAGATGGGATTGATGGGACATTTCTATTCACAGATACTGTATGAACTCACACTGTAACCCAAGTGATGGTACACTGTAAGCATAATGTTTTCATGTGTACCTCTGGTAGGCTGGGGGTAGAATGCATGTGTGTTATTGGCCACACATGCGCCCTAATTTTAGCGTTTCTGCAAATTCCCAAGAATGTTATACCTCATCCTACATTAGACTACACTTTGCCAAAACTAGATAAACAAAAACAAAAGTCTATCCTTCCCATCTTGTGTCCCCCAGGATAACTGTTGATCTTAAATCCAGAATAAACAATGGCTAGGTTACTATTTTTCAGTTATGTCATGTTAATATTAGAGAGTAAATATATCTTTATAGAATTGATTTTATTGGGTTATGTCGTGACGTAAAAGGGTTTTATTGTTGTTGTTGTTGTTTCTAAGCACTGCAGAGTCCATTTTAATCTCTAGAATGTGGAGTGCAGGGGAAAGGGACCCTTGAGACCTTTAGCCCCATGTGTCTATAATCCACCTGAAGATGCCTGGAAACCAATTATGCTACATTGTCCCGACCATGAGAATCGATGCTTGATTTGAGGTTCTCTCAGACAATAAAAGACTGCCTTTGATCTTCTTGATGATGCTTCATGCCATGATATCCCGCTTTACCTATTCAGTGGTCACTCTTCTCCATTAGCGGAAATCACTGCCTGCCTGCCTTCCTCTGGCTTTGGTGCAGGCAAGTCTGCAGGGCCCTGGATGGGGCCATTCTTTGGGACTTTTCACTATTGTTGCCTTTGTTAATCTCTGTGCATCCACAAAATTGAGACACTGCTGGACTAAGTGAGCATTACCTGTGAATAATACTTGCGATTGATCGCAAATTTGATTTCCCACCACTTCTTCTGTGTGTATCAGGGTAAGTAGGGGCTTTGCCCTCGGCATTCCTAAGTCCTCAGAGGACAGAGGAGAGAGGGCAGGCTGAAGAGATAATTGGAGCAAGAAAGGAATAGAAAGAATAATCCTCTTGTCTCCTCCTTCCCCTAAAATGCCTGCCATCTGGAGAATGAAGAAAATAAGCAATGCCCCTCAGCACTGGATCTCATGAAACTCCTCCTAGCTCGTCTCACTCTCTTCAGGGAGGCAAGCAATCAAAAGGGGACCAATGCTGCAGCCCTGTAGCTGCTCAGTATGAGTTCCAGCTTCATTCCTAAGTAGCTCTTTTGCAGGATAATTTCCCCCAGTCATTATATACTTTGAACCAAGGGCTGGATCTTCTCCCCACCACCTCCCAGAAAGAACTGTTCAGGGATTTTCTGATTCCTTATCTCAATTACTCACACAAGCAAAGCCATGTGCCCTTCCAAATCTCTAGGGCTGCCAAGAGCTCAGTGCTGGTGTCTCTGTGGGTGGTGACCAATCATCACCTACCTTCTGAACGTCCGAGGGCACCCTGGAGAGAAAGTCGAGGAGCTCGTTATTGTCGATGGAATAAGGATTTCGAAGCTTCTTAGTAAATTTATTTATGCCTGCAAAACAATAATACAATGTGTTTATTGTTCATGTCTATCTATCATCTATCTACCCATATCTATCTGTCTGTCTATCTATCATCTACCTATTCTCTATCTATGTGTCTACCATCTATCTTTGAAAACATGCCTGAGTGGGAGAAGGAGTGATATTCACAACTAAAAATTAGTGTGAAAACAATTACTGCACTTCCAGTCGTGTACACATTGCTGTCATACAGCATCATTCACGAGAACCTTTTCCTGAAATGAAGAAGGTCATGCTGTGGAAAGCGGACTCTGCCTTCTTCAGCTGAGAAATTCTCATTACAGCCCCAGCTGCAGGACTGCAGAAACATGGACTACAAAAGGGGGACCGATTGGCTCTTTTGGTAGTCACTGACTAAGATCTTTCTCTGCTATGGAAACAAATGTCTCAGATGGGCAAAGGCCTTTGCTAGTTCAAACAAGTCCCTGCGTGGACACTCTAGACAAAACATAGCTGCAGAGAGAGGAGGGTGGGAGTTTTAGTGGGCAGAAAGAACTGTAGCAATTGAGCTCCCTCTACTCATTTTCACAGGATCCTCTGCTCTCACTGCAGAACAGAACTTGACATGTTGATTGCACGTTGCTGGCAGAAACTGTGAAAAGTTATTATTGGAAAATTATCGGACTGTGGTGACTAACTTCATTTACGGACTGCAACACTGGCACACGTGTTTGTCCAAGCAAGAGTCTGCACTCACTTAGAATAGGGACAGTAGTAGTTAGAATGGGGTTCAATGTTCAAGTTGCCAGGTGACCATACAACATCTGTCAGTCTATGGCTATGCATGTGGAGTTCCTGGGCATGCCCAGAACATGGATTCCTCTGCAGAGAGAGATTCCTCCCAACCTTCTTTTGTCTTCTACTCGGCTCCTTGGGGCGCCTTTGCCTTATCCAGATCTCATAAGCGATAGTCTTTTCACCAAATGTCAACCCCCCCTCTTTTTTTTTTCATGTTGAGTTTTAGAAGCAGAAAGACTAGGTGGCCTTCTGAAGTTTTGCCACAGGGTGCTTGTTTAACAAGGATCATATCTGAAGGCCCGCCTGTCCCAATGACGCTGAATGAATGTTCAGCTTAGTTGTGCTCTGAATGGCTCCTACTCAGAAGCCAAGTTCAACAGTCCCCATCACATAAAAGGTTTGATGTTTCCCTTTGTTCATTAAATATGACTTTGCTTTCATCTAAGGACTCGACTTCCTGCATGGCATTGTACCTGACACAATGACAACCTCCAGTCCTTTCTTTGGGGGGTCAGATTTACATCTGCTTTGCAAATGGGAGCAGGCCATTGTTCATGAGTAAATGGTGGCTTGGTGGTTGGCTGGGGAAGGATCTCAGTAATGCTCCCCTTTCCTTCAAGTCAAAGCTGCACTCTGCCTTTCTTCCCTCTACCCCCACAGCAAGCTTCGTGTTTGGAACTAAAATTCCCCCCCAGAGTTCCTTTAAACTAAAATACTCTCACTGTGTTATTCTAAAGACATTTAATTGTAGCATGGGCTTTTTGGCAAAAGAAAAACAGACAAGGCAAAGTGATGAAGGGAGACAAAGACGTATTGAGAAAAGATGTATCTTCTATTGTTAATTATATATAGTGTGCGCATCTGGAGCCTTTACAACGAATGGCAAGGCAGGGATAATATCACAGCCGATCAAAACACTGCATTCTTAGTCACTGAGAAGATTACAAACCTGCACAGCGGCTCAGACTCACCCATAAAGGCAGAAGTAGTCCACAATGCAGTGAGACTGACTATGTTTGAAAAACTTGGAATAAAAATCACAAGGTATTCAGCTTGCATGCTTCAGAGGCATCGCTTATTTCTAAGGCATCTTGGGCTTGACAGTTTCAGGTATTCTGCTAAATTGTCTATTTTGTGAGATGAAGTATGAAGAGGACATCACAGACTCCTTGGTCAACTTTAAGGGGTAATAGGGCAATAGAAAGGTCCAGGCATACCTGGACTTCCATTCTAGCTTCATAACATATAAACGGTGATTTCAGGTACATCACTTAATCCTCCCGGGCCCAAGATTTCTGAAAATATAATCTTTTTAATAAAAACTTTCCCTTCGTAGTTTCCAGGGTTGATGATAGAATCATGTTGAGTAATATAGGCAAGGATTTTATAATCTGCAATTACCCAACAATAGAGGGTAACTGGAGTCAGCACCCTAGATGCCATTTAGGTAGTATTATAAGGGCATAGTGATGAAAGAGGTCTTTGTGCTATTAAGCATCTCACACACACAATTTTGAGAGCACATAACCAAACATGGAAGTTGAATCTGATCCAGTGAATACTAGTCTTAATTTTAGACTTTTTAAAAACTGAAATGATACAGATAGTTATCTGTTGTTAATATTGCTAGCCAAGACACAAAAAAGAGGGTCAAATGAGATGCAAATTGTGGTGTAGAACACTTAGTAATGAAATTATTGGTGAGTGGTCCCAGACCACACAACATACAGATCAGTTAATGGAACTGCTGAGGCCTCTGATAGCAGGAAAAAAAATCACTTGGAGAAATTGTGTGTCTGTTTTGTATTTGCATTTCTGTAACGCAAAAACAACCACACAGCATAGACTGTCATTGTCCATCAAGTACTTGAGTACATTGTGCACAGTTCTAAGTGCATCATTTTGGTTGAGTGTAAGACAGAGAAGCCATGCTTGTTCTGTCAAATCCTGAGTTCCTTTCTTATGAAGACACCATGTGCTCACATGGAAATACAAGGTGAAGGGGTCATGGTTCCTTCTTACAAAAAGGTCAAAATGTGGCATGAGGAGTTTTTATCTACCTTGCAACAATGAAAGTGTCTGAGACCAGAACTGATAGATAATGATGAGAACATTCATGATAAAGAACAGAATCAAAGGAATCAAGGGAAACATCTCAGTGGAAGTGTCTGAAACCAGAACTGATAGATAATGACGAGAACAGGCAACAATGGAAGTGTCTGAGACCAGAAGTCATAGATAATGATTAGAATGTGTAACAATAGATGTGTCTGAGATCAGTACTAATAGATAATGATGAGAACATCTATGACAAAGAAAAGAATAAAAGGAATTAAGGGAAACATCTCAAATGGAAAAAAAGCACATATTGGACTGAATGGTGGACGTTGTGTGGCCTTCCAGAAGTTTAAAGATCACACAGATCAGCAAAGTCCCATTGAGACTTCTAGAAATGTGTGTGTCATATAAGTTAGCAAAGTCCGGCAAAAAAAGCTCCCTAAGGAAAATTTCAGAATTTCTTTAAAACAGATCCATTGTGGGAATTCCCAAAGTCACTTTCCCAAAATAAAGAAGTGGTGGGAACCACAGCAGGTCACCTTTATGGAACACAACTGTGAGTGTTCAGAGACAATTGCTCCTATTTCCAACTATTTCTTTCATACTGTTTATACCCAGATGTCTACACTACACGTTACAGAGCCAAAGAGCAAAGATAGCGTGTCACCTGTCAAAACGTCATGGTGAATTTTTGAGTCCAGCAGTATTTCCCATGAGAGTTCTTAAGTTAAGCTGCTTTCATAGGTTTATGTGAAATAATGTCTGGGCTTGACATGTATCTATGAAAGTGTTCACTGTATAAAATATGAGATCTAGTGTATAAAATTTGGTTAATTTTTCCAAAGCCTGAATCCATCCATTTTTTTTATACTAATTCATCTGGTTTGGCAATCAACAAAAATTAACAGGTAACTTGTAGAATAAGCCATCTAAACCTTAACACAATTACAAGGAGCAAAGAAAGTTTTAGGCATATATATGTGATTTTTTCTAGGTGACAAGGTGTGATTCTACAGGGGTTATAAAAATTTAAAGGATATGCAAGCTTATGCTCTGAAATTATGCTAATAACTAATTCACTGTGGGAAAGGAGAGGTCATAATAGAATTGCAGAATATATTCCAAAATGTAATATCTGTTTTGCATGAGGAGAGGAAGCAAGTAACCCTGCGTTGATGGTCAAGGCTTGGACCATTACTAATTAGTAAACTCATCAATAGGCTATAAACTGTTCTTTACAGTGTAGAACTACGCAACCAGAGTGAAGGACTCAGAAGGTTTGTTTAGGCCAATGAGAGCAGAATGAACTCCATGCTGTGTAACAATATCAGCCACAAACTGAAAAACAAATAGAGAAATGGTTTATTAAGTTTATATAAAGAGATGTTAGAAAGTTGCTAAGGTGCAGGAAGATAAAACAGAAGTCAGAGTGATTTGGGGAAATAGAAAGAGACACTGGTTTGCAGAATTGACAGCCAGAAGAGGAACCAACCATGTAGTGTAGTCTCCATATCTGAACTCCACATCTCTGTATTAGACAGTCAGGAATCAAAAATATTAACACAAGAAATGTCTGTGTAGAACCTAGGTTGACTTTCCTCTGGCCTGTCCCTAAAAATAGAGCATGGCAATTATTTATCATAGTTTTATATGCTTTATATATTAGTAATCCACGGGATTACTAATGTTTTAAAGTACAGAGGAGAGTATACACAGGTTAGAATCAAATGCTATGACAGTATATAATGGGACTTAAACATCTAGAGATGCAGGTATTCACAGGATTCATGGAAACAATCTCTTTCTGTATCAGCCTTTTTCACTGAAGGAAGCATACTCAGAAGAATAATCACCTATGCATAATATTTAACAGCTCACCATGGCATTCAACTCAACATGAAGCAGATAGTAGCAAAAGGCTTATCATTATCAATCACATCTATTTGGAAGATAAGACCTAAGTTCTAGAGGTGAACGAAAATTGGATTTGGAAAAAAATGAAGGATGAATAAAATTATTTTTGCTATACAGTGTATCTATGCTTCAAACTTTATGCTTGATTCTTATTCATTCCTAATATTTTTAAGTCAAAACTCCATGAAGAGGGAATTAGAATGCGTTCTTTGGCTACAGTGGAGAGAGCCTTCTTTAAGATTTCATCTCCTTCCTAGGACATAAGGAGAATACATCCCCCAGAATCAACTAAGCAGGGCTCATGGGGACTCACAGAAACTGAAGCAGAAATCTTGGAGCCTGCATTGGTCTGCTATAGGATCTCTGCATACCTGTTATGGTTGTTGGCTTGGTGTTTTCAGGGAACTCCTGACAGTGGGAATAGGGCTGTCTCTGACTCTTTTGCCTGCTTTTGGGACATTTTTCCTCCTACTGGGTTGCCTCACCCAGCCTTGATGTGAGGGTTTGTGCCTGTTCTTATTGTATCATGTTATGCCAAGTTTAGTTGATATCATTTGGAGGCTTGCTCTTTTCTTGTGGAAGACTGGGACAGGGAGTGGTTCTGGTGGAGAAAGTGAGGGGGATGGTGCTGGCAGTAGTGGAGGGAGGAGAAGCTGTGGTCAAATTATATGGCATGAGAGAGTAATAAACAAATTAAAAATGAGAGATTTCACCTCCTAATAACGTAGAGTATAACCAAGTTACCCTGCCCCACTCATGCTGTTCTCTGCTCATGAGTTATTTCTTTTCTCCAATAACTTCTCTCATTTCCCAATGTCCACTTGGGCTTTTCTCATCAGCAGGCTCCCTCCACTGTCACCATCTTGGTAGAATTTCTTGAGGGCTCTAGAAAAAGGTGCCGGCTTCTTCATTTCCCGGCTCTCTGCTGCTTCTTACAGGGAAATGCATCCTGGCAGTCTCTCATATTCAGGACTTCTCTGAATAACATGATGCACAAGATCCCACCAAACCATAAAGATGGGGGATTCAGCAACAGGCCTGAAGTAAAGGCCGCTGGCTTCTCCATCAATGACCTGAGTATGCACCTAGTACATTCTCTTTGTTATTCCAGCAAAGACATGGGCGTTCACCAAGAGACATCCATTTTGTTCAGCTGCTTGCTTAAATGTAAAATCTAGTCATGAAGTAGGTGTCAACTTGACCATTTTCCTTGTTGCTTTCTTAAAGGGCTAAACTTTAGGCAGGTGGGCCAAAGCTCCTGCAAACAATAGCTTCCTCCTCTTTCACCCACTGTTTAGGTAGACACAGATGTCCATCCTGCACCCCACTGCTTCTGGATTTGACTATGAGGTTAGCTTGTTTCTTTCCTGCTATCCAGATGAAGTGTCAGAAGCAGTGAGGCAGTGGCCAGGCGTATTTTTACTGTCTTTAAAGGGCAAGATGCAGGTGTTTGCCGGCCATTTGAACCACAGTGTTTCTGGAAAGTTACTAGGCCACAGCCATATATTATTCAAAGCAATTTATGTCCAGGAAAGCCTAAAGGGAAATAGGAAGCCTGATCACAGGTTCATTTGATTGTGATTCTGCACAGGGCTTATAAATATCCATGTTGAGCCCTTATGTAACTGGCCTTTGCAGAAAGGTCCTGGAAGTTTTCATTCCCTGAATGTTTTCCTTAATCTCATGTTTAATTGGTAACAAGAGCACAATTAAAGTTTATGGCTGTACTTTAAAATGAATCATTTGTTCTTACCTGGAACTGCCTGCTAGCAAAACGATCAGGTCAGACTTACCCCAGAGTAGAACAATATACCGGAGAGGGATGAAATACAAAGCCACAGTGGCTATGGCCAGAATCAAACAGGCCAGCAGCGAAAGGAAAGGGACCGTCCAGTTAAACATGCTGTGGACAAACCACATAAGTGTCAGTTCATCTGATGCTGAAAAAAACTGCCACAGAGTCCTCATATCATGGGTATTTCTCCTATAGCTATAAAATAAGGTCAATTTGAAAAGTTCCTTTAAAACATGGTATATACATACATACAACATACATACATATGCACACACATATATATGTATACATATGTGTGTATGGGTGTGTGTGTGTGTGTGTGTGTGTGTGTGTGTGTGTGTGTACCTCTAATAGATACAGCTTGAATATAAAATTCTGTTAAACTGTGCACACCTGACAAGGCACATGAGCAGTCTCAATGAGGAGACTATCAGAAGACCAGTTGGCACTGAACTTGCCAGAAAATCAGTAACACTGGCTTCCTCAAATCGTCAGTCTCCAACCAAAAACTCTTTCCACACTGCACCATGAGTAAGAAGTGGCACTCCTGCCATAATGACCTGCCATAATCTCTCCAAAACTAATCATTAGTTAAGTCATTTCTGAGCTGATGCTTCTCTCTGGGGGAACAGACAGAGGCTAGGTAATATGTCAAAAGGGAGATTATTATTTCTGGAGTTTCATGCTCTTGTGTGCAAATGGGGCATCAGAACCTGGGCTATAGAAGTGAATACAGTGTGAGCAGTGCTGAGCAGTCCGTCAAACCTGCTTGCCTCCTGAGTGCCCAGCTGTGCCTAGACTTTCCTGACACTTGCTTTACTTTCATGTATAAAGGATTTGTTGTTGTACCTCCTGTACTAGGAGTACATAGAACTTTTTCAGTTGTCCTTGTTAGGAGGAAATGAGGAGAAATACTGGATCATTTCAGAGGAAGCAAGTAAGCTAGCCCTCAGGCCATTAAGTGTCATATATTAGGTCCATGGGTTTGGACTGTGGCACTCTTAGCAATTCTGCCATTTAGGTACTAGCCACATATTACAGATGAGCAGATTGAGACTGACTTGTGTAAATAATCAGTATTCATGATTGGGGATGTGACTGAGTGGGTAAACCTGCATGCCATGCAAGCATGAGGTCCTCAGTTCAGATCTCCAGTACCAGTATTAGAAACACAACAACAACAAACAAACAAATGAAAAACAGAAGAAGAAGAAGAAGAAGAAAAGAAGAAGAAGAAGAAGAAGAAGAAGAAGAAGAAGAAGAAGAAGAAGAACCCAAGAAGGCACAGCTACAGCTCCATGCCTTACAATACCATTGGGGAATGACTAAGGGTTGGTTCCCAGGAGCTTACTGGATGACCAGACCAGCTGAAATAGTAAGCTCCAGATTCAGTGAGAGACTGTATCAAGGGAATAAGGTAGAAAACCAGAGAGCAGAGCACCTGTCATCTTCCTGTCCATGCAATTCATGTTTCCATGTGAGCACATGCACCCACATTACACTGTGCACACGTGTTTTCATACCATATACTCACACCATCAATAAAATAATCTTGATCCCACCAATAAGGATGAATTTGCAAGCAGCTCATCCTCTCTTTCAGATGATTATCAATATTTCTTAAATCTTTATCCGCTGAGAGGCATAGTATTTATTACATACAATTTGAAGTTCCTTCATATTAAGCAAATTTGTGTGCCTTTTGGAAAAATCTAAAGGGCAACTTTATTAGAGTTTAAGAGAAAAACATAATATAGGTTAGGAGGAGAGCCAGGCAACCACTAGGAGGAGAGATGGAAGAAAATTCACTCTTCTAAGTTCAGCATGGAATTCAAATGGTATCAGCTAAATAAGACAGCCATTAGATAGTCTCTTGGATCAGAGGCTCCTAGCTCTGAATCTTCATATATCTGTGTAGTCCTCAAGCCTCGTCAAGAAACTTCTCTTTATAGCAGATAGAGACAATTACAGAAAGTCACAACCATTAAAAATCCAGAATTGTGGAGTCCAGTTCCAATAGGCACATCTAGAAAACACTCCCATACATAAGTTCAGGAAACACTGAGAATGAGAGAGCAGAAAGATTTTAAGAGCCAGAGGAACAGGAGCTTTGCTGTTGAGACAGGGTCTCCTAGTAATGTCAAAAGCTACACTCATAACGTCTCACCATCATGACTGCCTAAACATGAGATCACCAAGGCCAGGAACGATAGACATGCTAAAGCAGACAAGGAACAGCTCACAGGTCTCAACATACACAAAGAACTCTAGGGAACTACACAACACTGAGGGAGGGAGAGAGAAACAGTCTTCCCCAGGGAAGAGCACACCAACTGGCTATTCAATACCAAATTTTCCACCCTGAAAACATAGAAAAACAAGTGACATTACACAAATTGAGCAGGTTGCGTTTAGGAACATACCTGTATACATTTATACATATATTCATGGATGCAACAAATAACAAAAAAGGAGTCCATGAATTGAAAAGAGAGAAAGGTGAATATGGGATGGTTTAGAGGAAAGAAAAGGTAGGGGAAAATGATAAAGTTATAATTTCAAAACATAAAACAGTAATTAAAAATGAAGACACACTACTACAAATGGAAATGGGCCACCGAGCTGAGTAAAAAGACCAAAAAGCCACATTTTTATAGCTTTTAGTTTGAATGTTGACTATCATGTTTGACATTACCAATGAAGGTTTTTTTTTTTTTCTTGACTGTACTCAGTTTAGAAAAAAGAATGTATGTTTTAGTAGCTAGTTACTTACTTGGCATCTTAAATTTAAGCCTATGTATAAATTTTAAATAAAAATACACATTTTCATTACTAAATTTGTTCCTTTTTTCCCTTGTCAGTTTATAAATTTTGTAAAGCATCCTACTTTTATCTGTTTTTTTTTTTTAATTTTTGAGACACAGTCTCATACTAGACTGGAACTCAGTCTTATTCTTGCCACTGTTGGGACTGTTCCATATGTGATGCAGCTCAGAGTGGAAAGAAATTAAAGATCAGTCTTACCTAAGGATACAGAGTCACTACATGAATGTTTACCAAAGCAGTTCCCAGCACTTATTTTTTTTAGAAAATCACCTCTCCATTAACAACAAAAAATCTTTCAATAAAATGTATAATTTAAGAAAAGTGTATATCTGAGTTTGAGATGAGCCTGGTCTACAAAATAAGCTCCATGACAGCCAGGGCTACGTAGACAAACCCTGTCTCAAAAACAAACAACAAGAACAAGAACAACAAAAGTCAGTGGTGTTGGTGCATGGTGGCCTGCACGTCTTTAATCCCAGCACTCAGTAAGCAGAGGCAGGCAGATCTCTGTGAGTTCAAGGCCAGCTGGGTTTGCAGTGCAAGTTCTAAGACAGGCAAGACTACACAAAATACTCTGTCTCCAAACCCAAAAACAAACAAATAAAAAGCAAAAGGGAAATTTTAATTATATTTAGCCCCTGCAAATTATATATATTTAGAAAATAATGACATCACGCAAAGACCACAGACTCCATCCCCAAGCATGGAGATTCAAAGCTAGTAAAAACATCAAAACATAGTCTGTAAATAGTGTAAATCCATAAAATTATTACTGGGTTTACCCATGTGCAGGCACTATCTCTAATAGATGTCTCTACTGCAATAGACACCAACAGGATCTATTCCAAACAGTTAATGATTGCTAAATGTGATAGAGTTTAGAAGAGAGGCACAGAATACAACAGAGACTGTTTCATTGGCTATGTTTGATTTTTTTTTAATGGCTACATTGTATAATAAAATTAAACTAAGGAAAATTGAATATCAAATTTTGAAAACTTTTTAATAGTGGAAACAAAATGAGCAGACCACTTACACAGACATCCACAATAACAGATGAACATATGACCTTTGAACCTTTGCAGATTATGTGTTAGTACTGTGCAGTTAAAAAACTTTTTTCTGTTCTAATACTCTTTATCTGAAAGTAAAACTGTAAGTAATGTACCCAACTTCTGTCTGCTTCAGTCCCATTTTATAGATGCAAAACCAACAAACTTCATTGACCTTACAGTGCTATTCAGATTATCCAATGATTTGATGTCTACAAAGCACTTAAAACACGATGTGGTACAGTATTTATTTAATACATTTTAGCTACGGCATTGTTGTACTATCATGAAAACATAACGTAAATATCAGAAGAAATCTAATTATATCAGCTAGCAATCTGAAGATAATTAAACATTTAAAATACATGAAATCCCTTTTTTAGGAAGAGATAAAAATCATGGTTCCCTTTCTAGCAATAGTATTTTTAAAAGAGTAAAATGGCTACGAGAATGAGAAGGGAAGAAGAGGAAGGATGCAGAGGTCATGAGGGAGCAGAAATTTTGAGTCAGGTGAAGAATAGAAGAAAGGATATGTGATAGGTAGGGTCTTAGTTGGGGAAGTGGTAGGGGAGATGGGAGGGAGAAGGGAACTGGGATTGTCATGTAAATCAATCTTGTTTCTAATTCAAATAAAAAATGATAAAAAAGTAAATAAAAAATAAATAAAAGAGTAAAATGGTAGACATGATCCTAAAAAATTTTTGGAAAGAAACTAGGCCACTATTCAGCTGACATGAACTTAAAAAATACTATAATGGCAAAAAAAGTAAAAATAAATATAAGAATTCTAGGATTTAACTCAATTCAAAAGTCATTATTCTACCATTTTTTTTAAAAAAAATTAAATACTGGGGAGGGGTTGGCTTGTTTCTGTTATCTGAGTGAGAGACAGAAAATAAAAAGCCTAGGACCTCCCTAAATCAAGAATTTAATCAGAAATCATGGCAAGAAGCACATGTATTTACAGTAAGGATAAGTGAGAAACAGAATGGATGAAAGGAGGAAGAACAGAAAGAAAATCCATGTAAATGGAAAGGAAGGATTAGATAGATATTGTCAGGACATGGAGTCCAGGAAGACAGGACTGTCATCTGAGGTTAGGTTACCTGTACAGGTTGAGAAGATTTGAGAGAAAAAAAGAGATTCTCAAGTTGGTATTTGCCCAAGGGGACCTATGGCAAAAATCTCCTGCAACAGTGAGTGCAACCAATTTAGGCATCTGAGCACCCC